GACAGAGGCTTATTTCTTGCTCATACTACATGCATCGTGGTTGCGGTGGAGGGGCGGGGAGCGCCTCACCACTGTCACTCCCAGGGACCCAGATGGCAGAGTGGCCACCATGCCACAAAGAGAAGAGAGAAAGAGCTCTCTGGAAAGTGTGCTGCAGACAATGCAGTGCTTGACTGGGAAGGACACACATGGCTTCTGCTCCCGTCTAATTGGCCGAAACCAGTCACATGACTTCACCCACCCACGGGAGGGAGCATATGTCCCACTATTTCTGTAATTCGCAAGTAAGAAAACCAGCTCGGTGATGAATGGTAACGACAATACTACTAAACATAAAGAGAGCAACTGAGTACTCACAATGTACTAGGCGCTGTTCTGAGAGCTCCCTGTGCTAATCCCCAGCGCAGCCTCGGGTGCGAAGACCGTTTGCATTTTACAGCTCAGGGCACTGGACCCGGAGAGGTGGGCAGTTAGCTCCCCCACTGCACCGTGCGGTGAGCCCACCACCACCACCAGGCAGGGGATGGGGTGGCATTCGGATCCCGGGCCTCCCAAAGCCAGTGAGGACACAGCAGCCCTTGAACTCTGGATGCCAGATGCGAGCCCCACGGCTTTCTAGAAAAAGAGCTCCTGTCTCGGGCCTCGCTCCCGCCCAGACACATCTGGCCTGGCTGAGGGCAAACCTGCCAGGCAGCTCATCAAAGGAGCAAAGCTTCTCTTATCTTAATTAGGAAATTAATTCCATTCCGCCTAGATTGATCTGTGGTGAGTTCTCCTTGGGGACCCAAGGAGCAGGTGGAAAATGAGCGAGGCTGTGGGTTCCCCTCCAGTCCCTGTGTCCTACTCTGAGGGATCTGCTGACAGTAGGTGTCTTCACTGCTGACAGAGGTGGGTGGGGAGTGACACCGAGGCACAGGTGTCCCTCCCTCAGGGCGGCGTTCCCCCAGGACTAGCTCAGCGCCCCGCCTCCTCGTGGGAGGAGCCATCCAACTGGTCTTGCAGGCGCCTCCTTGGCAAAGCCTGGTGTGCAGCAGGCGGGAGCCCTGAAATCTTCTCCTGGGCTCCCTTCAATCCCTCTCGCCTCTGGGAGCTCCTTGTCCATCTGTCTTCCCAGAGGCGGCCGAGGCTCCACGCCCAGGAGAAACCGCACAGGCTAGGTCCCACTCCATCTGTCCTGGGGTGCAGGAGTGGGGCTAGCCTAACCGCTCCCCCACGTTGTCTGCTCAGCTCCCTACCCAGGACCAGTTAGGAGCAACGTTGGGAAACAAGTCCCTTTCCTTTGGGCCCAGCTTGTCTCTCCCTTCACCCAGTCCTCTGGCTTCACCAGCCCCTCAACCCACAGGCACACCCTGCAGTGCCTGCAGGCGCTTCTCATGGGAGCCCCAGACGCAGTGGGCAGAAGCAGGGAACTGAGGGAGGACCGCCCTGTAGCTCTGCAGTTATGGGGAAGTCTGATTCAGTTTCCACTCACCAAGAAAGGAAAAGAAACGCAGCTGGCCAACTGCACCCCTCATCCTACAGGTGAAAAAGCAAAGGGGTCCCTAGAGAGGGACCGTGATTTGCCCAAAGCCACACAACACATCAGAGGCAGAGCAGGAACTGGATTTCCGATTCAGCAACCCCTCCCTCTGTGGGCTGCTGCTTCTCAAACTTTTCCTGCCCACAAAGGTTAACAACTCACGGCTTATAAAACTATAAGCAACTCACGGCTTATAAAACTATTTAACACCGGATGCTGCAAGAACTTGAGGGATTTCACAGCAAAACATTGGCTGGAAGCACGGCACAGAAGAACATCCACCCATTTCACAGAAGAGGAAACGGAGGCCCCCAAAGTTAAGGGGACCTACCTGAAATCATACAGCCAGGCAGGGGCAGAGGAGGACTCCCAGCAACCCCACTTAAGTGTTCTTTCTGCCTACAGGTTCCAGGTGTGGGGGTTCCGACCACAGAGCTGGCAATTTGACCAGCGGTTCAAGGAGCCACACATGCTCGTTGTTTTGCATGAAAAAGGGCTTGGGAGGAAAGATTCAGCAGTGCGCCAGGGCAGTCTGTGGATGCCAGAACCGCAGTGGGGGACGTGGCTGGGGCCCCAGGAGAGGGCCGGTCACAGGCGCACAGGTACAGGTGAACCCAGGCGCAGTTCCCTAGCCCATGCTCTTGTGCTGGAGACAGAGCAGAGCCCTTGGTCCCTGAGTCCTCTCTGGCCTCACCGCCATGCCACCTCCCTCCCGGCTCTTAATAGCTGAAGGACTTGGGGTTGGTCTGGCAGGGTGGGTGCCTAAAAGTGACAGGTATCACTTTTGCTGCCTTCAGACTTAGGATGGGGGCGGCGCTGCTCAGGCTCGGGGGTCCAGGGCAGGGGCTGGAACCTGCTGTGGGCACGGGGCCAACTTCCCTGGCCTGCAGACAGACCCAGATTACCCAGGGGCAGTCCTGCAAGGGTGCTGGGAGTAAAGGCTGGGGGTGGGCACGCTCTCCCCACCGCCGGTGGTTCCAACTACATGTGTTCTTGCTGGGAAGATGCCCCAGCAGTCCTGGCTACCTAAAACAATTCACTTGGGAAACTTAGCACATTAAACGAAAACCAGCATCTCAATCAGCCCAGTAATTGGCTTGTGTCTGGCCACTGTTTTCTCCTGCCGGCTCCGCTGGCCCCCTCCCTGGCCAGGGCACACCAACTCTGCCAGCTGGTCCAGAGGAACCAGGGGCTCGGGCAACGGGCCAGTCTTTGGGATTGGGGTGGGGCGGGCGGGGGGGTTCTCCCAGGACCCCCTGAGCAGAAGGGCCGCGCCCAGAAGCCATCCATCTTCCCGGGGCCACCACAGTCCCCAGGGGACCTTTCCATCACCTTCTGCCTCCACTCTGTCCAAGCTTAACCTGCACCTGCCTTAAGGTCAGCAATGAATTTGTGTCTCGGGGAGACGCCTGAATGGCTGGTGGAAGAAAGCAGCCGCCCAGAGCTGGGAAGATGGGTTCTGGCGTGCCTGTCTGATCCAGGCATCCTCCCTCCAGAAAGTCTTCACCACCTGCGCCCCTCCTGCGTGCCCTCCACTCCCCTTGCTCCCCTCACCACGGAGGAACTGGGTATGCACACACCTCTGTGTGTCAGGGCCCCTGATCCACAGGCCAGCACGCCCTCACTTAGGGGCTCCCTGGAGGCCGGGTTCCAGTCAAGACCCCTCACCAATCAATTAATAAATGAATGAACAAACCACCCACTAAATAACACTCTACGATGCATCATAGCGGTAAATGGGAGGAACTGAGCCTCTTTCACGGCAGACCAGGCGCTCCCAGGCCGGGACCGCCTTGCTCTTTTCTTCCTGCTCTCCTCTCTCCACGCTGAGTTCCCGCAGGTTTATGATGCTATTAAGGGGCCTGCGGAGCCTGCGCCTCACCCACGCGGCTCCTCTCTCTGCACCACAAGCAGATCCGGCCCTAGCCTCAGGGTGAACGCTTCTTCCACGTCTACCTGCCTGTTAACAAACTCCCTGAAGTCACTTCCCGGCACACGGAATTACCGCAGACAGAGACGGAGATGTCGGCCAGGGCTGACTCCGTCAGCCCCCACAGGTCCAGCTTGGGGACCCAGGGACGCCTGCCTGGTCCTAGGACACCAAACTGGACCCTGTGGGGTGGACCTTGTGTCCTGCCTGTCCCCAGCCCCCAAATGCCAGCCTCCATCAACATCCCCTGGGAATCCTAACAGCACTCCCGGGCCCATCAGGCCCACCTATGAATGGGGAAAGTGAGGCCCAAGGTCCCAAAGGATCTGACCCAAATCACGGTCATCAGAGTCTGGTCCGAGATAAGAAAATGGGGTTCTGCCTCTCCTCCCAGTGCTACCGTCAACTTCCCCGCTTCTGTCCCACCGCCCGAGTGAAACCTAGAGGCCCGGACAGCTGGCTTCTCTGTCCCGATTCCCGAGGGGCGGCCTAAACTCGGGGGTCCCTCACCCTGCTGGGAGCGACCCAGCAGGCCCCAAGAACAGCCAGACCACACCTTCAGAGGCCTGGGCCTGCCCCCACCCCATCCCCTCGGATCAGCCCTGGATATAAAGTTTTCCTCTGCTCAAAGAAAATGACAATGACATTTGGGGGGGGAGGGGGGCGTCTGAAGCGGTAACAGAAAAGTGCCCGGTGCCCCTGGAGGTACAGTCTCCCAAAGGAAAAGCTTCTCAAGCAACCACGAGGGTTGAAAGGATCCGTGGGGGCCGTGCCCCAGTGCGTGGGGTCCTGGGGCCCGAACAAGATGCGGGGAACAGGGGAGCCGGCTGGAGGGTGGCCGTCCCCCGGGGTGGGGGTGGGGGGGCAAGTGGGTGGGACTTAGCGCGTGTGACTTCTTCTCTGCGACTCCACTGCTCTCCCAACAAGGACAAGGGGCCGTGTCAAGTGGGACGCAAACGGCCGGGGTCGCAGGGGCGGCGAGCGTGTCCCGGTTGGACTCCTCTGCACGAGGCAGGCGGCCATCTGGCCCTCGGGGTCAAGTGCGCGGGGACTTCGCCCGGCCGGCCGGGGCACAGAGCGCCCGCCGGGCCGCTCGCTGCCTCCTCTTTCCAGGATCGATAGTGTCTTTTTTTTTTTTAAAAGAGAGTCCGCGGACTGAATGAATCAACCACTCCCAAGGGAAACAGTGGCTGCTCCCGCGCGCGCAACATCCATTTACTAAACAATTCATTCCCTCTCGCGGAGCTCTCCGCAAATGCCCTCGCCGGGTCCTCGGGCACGCAGGAGGAGCCGGCGTCGGGGACGGGGTGGCGAACCGCAGTGCCACCCCACCCCCCACCATTGTCCCCGACTCCAGCCACCCCCGCCCCGGATCCCGCGGTTCCCCGAGCCCGGCCCCCGCAGAAGCTCACTCAGCTCGGAGCTCCCACGCGGGATCGCGCAGGACCTGATGCGAGTCCCGGGGTAGTGACAAGTGCCAACGCCGGCGGCCCGGCTCACAGCTCCCCAGGCCCGAGGTTGTGCCCTCCTCAGCCCAGCCCAGGTACTCACCGCTCGGGGCGCCACCACCCGCCGCCCTTTCAGCCCGGGGCCCGTCGCCGCGATCAGAGACCCCTGGCTGCCAGAGCCTCCGAGATTCTCCGCCGCCGCTGCCGCTCCCCTCCCCCGCTCTCCACAGCTCCAGAGCCGCTGCCGCTGCGGTCCAGCCCGGGTGCCACCAACAAACTAGTTACTCCGGCCTTCCCGCCCCGCCTCCCGGCCCGAAGGGGACCAGCCAATCAGAGGCGGCGCCTCTGTGACGGATGGGCGTGCGAGCCAGTAGTTCAGTCCGCAAGAGGATAAAGGGATGGGCTCCCCCAACGCACCGGTACCGTGAGGGGGCGGGGCAGGGAGAGGAGGACTTCGACCGGATTCTTAAAGGGACAGGCTTCTCTTCCCCGCCCCCTCTAATGCGCCCAGGAAGTTTAGAAACAAAACCCAGCGGTGTTCTAGACCTTTCTGAAAGTGGGAGCTTTATAAATTGCAGAAGCCCCTTCTGCCACAGGTCTGCAGAGCTATATTTTTATTTGCGAAAGTGTTCAGGAAACGTTTTCTTTTGACTCTGGGCTTGATTCAGTGTTTGGGATTTTCTGCAGCCCCTAACCCTGCCTGTATCTGAAATATGTGTTCTTCAGGGTACTGAAGCGCTCCTACCTGTGTCACTTCTAAGTTTCTTTTGTAAGTAGACCTTTAAGTATTCATTCATTCATCCATTCATTAACTCATCCCACAAACGCCTGAGGGACGTGCTAGTCTGGTGGCAGGGATGATCTGCAACCTCGCCTTACCTCTGGATTTTCATCGCGTTCCACCATTTCAGGTTGCTGGGTATCACGAAGGTCTGTACAGCGTGTGTTGACCCTGAGTTAGAAGATACCCACCAAGAATGGCTCCTGGTGGCTCACTAAGCTCAAATTTAAAAACAGCCTAGCAGCCCTTTTTAAACGGGGGGCCTCTCAGGCAAGCCAGGCTTCAGGAGAAGCCTGCACTTAAACTGACCGCTGGCCACACTGAACTGCCTGCCCCGCGCCAGGTTCTTGAAGGCTGAGCCATCCCTCATAAAAGAATTCCTGAAATCCTATTTCAACCTATATGACTGAGAATTTCCCCAACCAATTGGAGATGCACACAGCTTTATTCTCCTCCCTCTTAGCATCTTCCTGGCCAATCAGAGCAGCTTCATTCTGACCAATCAGGATAGTGCTTTTTGGACCAATCAAACCTGAGAATTAGGAGTCTTTATTTGCATGAGGACGGACCAATTAGGGACTGGGGCGGGAACTTCCATGTATATAAGCGAGCTGCCTGTGGCTGGGGAGTGTACTGTCCCTTTAAACTAGAGACTACGTTTGTGTCCCCGATGGGACCTGGGGGTGCCTGCCACCCGGCTGCCCTACCAGGGGTGCTGTGAGGTTCTGTGAGGAGAGGGCATCGCCTCCGCAGGGCTCCTCCCCGCCATGTTGTTAGGAGAGGAGCACTTCGCAGCTGGACCTCCTCTCCTGAGGGGGGCGCCACTTCTGAGCGCACTGCGTTGCTGGCTCCCCGCCATGTTTTTTCACGCTTGCGCTGTTTGCGACGAATAAAAAAGTGTCCTTCGCTGCACCCCGAATTGGGGGTTCCTGCTGGCATGGAATTGGCACCAGCGACCATCAGTTAACATGTGGCAGGGGCAAAAAGTCCTCATAGAGTTATCTTCAAGACTAACGGAGATAAACTCCTGCAACATGTAAGTGCACAATCAGCGTCCATTCTTTAGTCCCTCCCACTGGACATGGTGATTCCGGTAGGTCGAGGGTACAGAGGGTAACGGTCCAGTATAAAAAATTGTAAGAGCTAAGCATGGGGTGGGGAAAATTCCCAGGAAGTGTTACAGAACAACAAGGGGCCAAGGGGGGCTTGGGACGATATACTGTTACCCGAAGGAACCCCCCAGGTTTGTTATGTCTGCCGCCCGAGGAAAGACGTCTCTCAATGTCAGAGATTTGTGAAAAGGAAAGAAAATGTTTATTTATTGCTGTACAGACTTAAAGTAGTGACCTAATGCCTTCATCAAGATCCCAAAGCCCCTTAAAACACCCACAAACACACGCAGTCCTTACCCCTTTGCCCAGTCTGGGGTACCATATCTCAGGAAAAGAAATAGAAATTCGTGGCTCAGGCAGCCCCCGGTTCTTCTCAGTAAAATCCGTCTTGGCTGGTAGGGCTCCCTTGGTTCCCGGCACCATCAGCTGTGTCCCCGGGATCTGCTAAAGCCGGGTGGTGATTCCCCCCTCTAAAGCTGTGGGGGTCCCCACTCTGGCAAAGCCGAGAGGTTCTCTCTCCACTGTTCCAGCCGCATGGTCCTCTCTGCAGAATGGCCGTGGGAGTCCCCACTCTGGCAAAGCCCTGTGGCTCTCTCTCCCAGGGCTGAGGGAGTCTCCACTCTGCCAAAACTGCGTGGTCCTCCCCTCAATGGCTGCCGTGTCTGGGTTTAAATCCCCGCGCCAACCTTCCTCTGCAGCCCCATTTCCGACTCCTCCCACAATCCGTTACACCTGCCAGCACTCCCATATCCTTCCAGCTTTACTGGGCTGCCATAGTGAGTCTGGGTAGGCGTGGCCCCATGTCATGGAGCCAATAATCTCCAAGCTCCCACAGAGGTGCTGTAACTCAGGGGACCTGCCTCCCAGTTACATCTTGGTGGGGAAGTTACTTCCATTCCCTGGCTCAGAGCATGGCCACAGCTATTTAACATATCTATATGACCAGTTAAAGGTTATGGATATGTTAAATGACTGCACCAGAGGTTAGCTGCAAAGCTGTTGCTGTACAAAACAGCTCTCAATGGCCCTGCTCCATGTGTCCCTTCCCCCAACCCACACCTGGGGGTGAGGGGTAAGGACATCCTAATATTTCCTGAACACCTTGAGTTCTGGACCCCATTCCAAATCCCTATTTGGGGCCCCCCTCTTGCTGCACCCTGTTACAGAAGGACAGGCCCCACTGGCCACAGGTTAACCTAGGAGGACGAGGACGAGAAGGAGGTGCAGAAAAGATTGGGAGGAGGCGCGGGATTTTGACTGGTGCAAATGGGAAAGGAGAGCCCAAGGGTAGGAAGCTGCTTAGACTGGACAAGAGAGATTCCAGGCTTAAAAGGCTGTGAGATGACAGGGAAGACACGACCAGAGAGGACATTTGTGTGCCATGGTGTGTGTGGGGGGCGGGGGACAGTGCGGTGTGGAGGCAAGCAGCCTGAGATCTTGGCTTGAACCCTCAAATGCTAGGTAGAACTGGAGGCAGTCCTCCAGTCTTTTAAAAAAAATTTTTTAACTCAGGCATTTTTTTCATTTAAAAAAGTGGTTTTTGTAGAATTTTATTTCTTTTTTTAAAATGACTTTCTTTTTTTTAAAGATTTTATTTATTTATTTTTAGAGAGGGAAGGGAGGGAGAAAGAGAAAGAGAAACATCAATGTGCAGTTGCTGGGGGTTATGGCCTGCAACCCAGGCATGTACCCTGGCTGGGAATCGAACCTGCAACACTTTGGTTCTCAGCCCACGCTCAATCCACTGAGCTATGCCAGCCAGGGCAGAATTTTATTTCTTGATTTGCGAGAGGGAAACATCGAATTCTTGTTCCACTCATTGATGCATTCATTTGTTGGTTCTTGTGTGTGTTCTGACCAAGTACGGAACCCACAGCCTTGGCGTATCAAGGCAACACTAACCAGCTGAGCTACCCAGCCAGGGCAGGTTGCTTACGCTTTTGCATGTCAAACCCTTACAGGTGAAGGGAGGATTCTAGTAACTATCTTGCAGGCTTACTGTAAGGATTAAATAAGAGAACCTATGTAATGAGTGCATCGCCTTAGAAAGTGCTTTGTATACATTTGTCTCCATTTGGCCCAGAGCTGGAGACTTTTAAGGCAGGAGAGTTTTGCTGCTTGAGAGCAGTGTTGGCCAGAAGCGAGAGCTGGCCAGGGTGCTGTTAATGTGCCTTCGAGGGGGAAAAGGCAGCCGCAAAGTAATTGGTCCATTAAAGAAATGACACAGATCCCATTTGTAGCTTTAGCATCTGGCCAATTTTCGGGAGCTAGAGTGTTTATATAATTGTTGGTTGGATGAAGCTTCACGTACAAAATTGATTCGTAGCAAGTTCATAACCGTTGCTTATTATTCCATTCAGGTTGTCTATGAGATTATAAGTGCCAACCATCTAAAATCAGAGCCACATTATCATCCCCCACACCTCAACTCCGGTGCTTAAATTAGGTACTGAAATATATTAAAATAAAGTATAGGCAATGGAATGAAATCCAAACAAGGACACAGGTTGACTCATTGAATTTAGGTATGGGTTGGAGGGAAAAGAGGAGATGAAGCTGGCTGTGCCATCAGGCTCTGTCCTTCCTGTAGACCAGAGGTGGCCAACACAAAGCCCGTGGGTAAATCCGGCCCTCCACCTTGTTTTATCCAGCCCGGCACCTTCTTTCTACCCAGCAGCAGCGCTGAGCTCCTTGCCCCTAGTTAAGGAGTAGTTACATTTATACAGTCCGAGCATTACATTTGGCCCTTTGAAGGCAACGGTGAGGCTGATGTGGCCCCCGGTGACCCTGCTGTAGACCCTGGAGCGTAACCACTATCTCCGCCTTTACCTGCCTGTGTTTTAATGACTCGTTTCTTTGTGAGGCCACCTCACGGCCTAGGGAGTTCTGAGAAGGGAGGGGCCATGACGTCACTCACTCCTTGGTTCCTCCCACAAGTTTTAGACACTGTTGAAATAGTTTGAAGACATCGTATACCAGTTAGTATTTACTTTTGCTGCATAAGACAGAAAACCCCAAATAACTGACCGTTAAAAAGACGGCAATTTGTTTATTGCTCATGCAAAATACATCTAAAATTAAGTAACCCGTGACTGTTTGGCAACTCCAGAGTTATCAGGAACATGGGCTCCTATGTTTCCATTCTACCATCCTTAACGCTTGGTTTCCACTTGCACATTTGCCTTATGGCCCAAGGTGGCTGCTGGAGCACCACCGCTAACATCCATTTTCCAGACAGGAGGAAGGACTAAGAGTAGAAGAGCAGTTACGTGCCTTCCAACTGCAGTAGCTCCGTTTCAGCAGGCTGCATGCAGCCGTCTCACGTGATGCTTCCACTTAGACCCCTGCTTTCTGAAAGCCCCTTATAGAGAGCAAATCTCC